AGCTCCACCGAAGGCCCTTCTGGCACACCCCTCACACGTTTCGTGGCCCCATAGGGAGCTCCACCGAAGGCCCCAGTGGCTGCGCTCGCATGCGGTTCCACCCCTCATTCTGGCGCACCCCTCACACGTTTTCGTGGCCCCATAGGGAGCTCCCCGAAGCCCCAGTGGCTGCGCTGGATGCGGTTCAACCCATCTTTCGGCTCACAGTTCGGGGCTCCATAGGGAGCTCCACCGAAGGCCCCAGTGGCTGCGCTCATGCGGTTCCACACCCATTCCGGCACACCCCTCACACGCTTCGTGGGTGGCTCCATGGGGAGCTCCACCGAACGCCCCAGTGGCTGCGCTCGCATGTGTTCCCCCCCCCATTTCGGCACACCCCTCACACGGTTCGTGGCCCCATAGGGAGCTCCACCGAAGGCCCCAGTGGTTGCGCTCGCATGCGGTTTCACACCCTTTTTTCGGCACGCCCTTCACACGTCTCGTGGCCCCATAGGGAGCTCCACCGAAGGCCCCAGTGGCTGCGCTCGCATGCGGTTTCACCCCCCATTCTGGCACACCCCTCACACGTTTCGTGGCCCCATAGGGAGCTCCACCGAAGGCCCCAGTGGCTGCGCTCGCATGCGGTTCCACCCCCCATGTCGGCACAGCCCTCGCACGCTTCGTGGCCCCATAGGGAGCTCCACCGAAGGCCCCAGCGGCTGCGCTCGCATGCGGTTCCACCCCCCATTTCGGCACACCCCTCACACGCTTCGTGGCCCCATAGGGAGCCCACGAAGGCCCCAGTGGCTGCGATCGCACGAATGGTTCCGCACCCCAATTCTGGCACAATCCCTCACACGCTTCGTGGCCCCACAGGGAGCTCCACCGAAGGCCCCAGTGGCTGCGTTCGCATGCCGCCCCCACACCAACTTCGGTGCACCCCTCACACGTTTCGTGGCTCCATAAGGAGCTCCACCGAAGGCCCCAGTGGCAACGTTCGCATGCCGCCCCCACACCCATTTCGGCACACCCCTCACACGTTTCGTGGCCCCATAGGGAGCTCCTCCGAAGGCCCCAGTGCCCGCGCCCGCATGCGTCAGCCACACACATTTCGGCACGCCCCTCACGCGTTCCGTGGCTCCATAGGGAGCTCCAACGAAGGTCCCCAAGTGGCTTTTCTCATGTTTTGGCGCTCGCATGCGGTTCCACCCCCCATTCTGGCACACCCCTCACACGTTTCGTGGCCCAATAGGGAGCTCCACCGAAGGCCCCAGTGGCTGCGCCCGCATGCGGTTCCACACCCCATTCTGGCACACCCCTCGCACGTTTCGTGGCCCCATAAGGGGGCTCCACCAAAGGTCCCAGTGGCACTGCCCGCTTGCGTCCGCCACCACCCAGCACAGCCCTTGTTCCCTGCGCTTCACCCACCCAGAACAGCGCTTCGTAGCCCTATAGGGAGCTCACCAAAGGTCCCAGCGGCACCGCCCGCATGCGTCCGCCACCACCCTGCGCAGCCCTTGCTCCCTGCCTGCGTTTCACCCACCCAGTACAGCGTTTCGTGGCCCCATAGGGAGCTCCACCGAAGGCCCCAGTGGCACCGCTCGCATGCGTCCGCCACCACGCAGCACAGCCCTTGCTGACCGCGTCTCACCCACCCAGCACAGCGCTTCGTGGCCCCATAGGGAGCTCCACCGAAGGTCCCAGTGGCACCGCCCGCATGTGTCCGCCACCACTCAGCACAATTGCGGCATTCACAACTGCATATGGTTGGGTCCTTCGCCAGGCTAATTTCTGCGATTTCTCGCACCTCCTGCAATAACTCATCCGCATGCAGAACAATCGTAGCATTCTTGTCACCAGACAGCGCGGACACGTCACCTGGCCTTAAGAGCATCTGATGGCCGTCCCTGGCGTACTTGCCACTCGCGGCCGCCGTGGCTTTCATGCATGCGAGTTTGAATGTCACCGCAGCCCCCTCGTTTTTGATCTTCACTTCGGCGAGGCTCTTCGCCATGGCGCCTGTGACCACGCACAGGGCAGTTAATTGCCGTGAGCAGTACCGCAATTTGTAGAGGAAAATTGGCTCGCCCAAACCACCCGACATCTCTTTCGCATACGTTGCCAATCCGTCGATTTCCCCAGGGAAGATGGAAACCGCGCGAGTCGCCTCTTGAATGACCCTCGGCCAATCGATCTTGCCTCCATGGTTCGCCAGACGGTTCGCAATGGATGCGATCTTGAACTGCAGGCTCAATCGGGACTCGCAACGTGCGATCTGTTGTCCCGCATTGCCTGCTTCCTGGGCAAGGTTTGAAATCCAAGGGAAAGCTTTGACACATTCATGCCGAAAGACCTTCCATTCAATGCCCTCGTCGCAAGCCTTTGCGTAGTCGGGCTGTGCTTCCCTCAACCTCTTCATTGAAAGAAACCCAGATTGTGAAATCCTGTCGAATCGTTCTGGGTCTTTCTGCGGCACGGGAACTTCTGTATATAAACAACGCAACCCCATGCTCGTATGTCGACACGTGCAGCTTGCGAATTTAGCTTCGCATTCATATAAAGGCATTTGGCCAGCAGAATCTTTCATTATCTTATCGTTGAATGCTTTGACCTTCTCATATTGCGCACTGGATTTTGAAGGGCCGAGTTCTTGAAACCGTTCCTGAATATTTTTACGATGAGATCTAGCACATCGCTCGGGACAACCCTATCCCAACACCTGTTTTCCATGCGCACGAACATGTATTTGCTACGAATCCTCTCCATCCTGACGCAATCGATGCCAGGCCGCTGCGCTATGGCGCATACCTCTTCGAACAAAGAAACGATGGGGGCGTCTGGCTGCTCATACGCAGCCTTGATTGCATGCGTCTCCCCAACAACATTCTGTATGTTCAGTTCGCGCTTGGAGGTCATGACGCCTCGCGCGGAAACCACCTCTGTTGAGCCAAAAGCTTATGCGGTGCATGCATCTGTATATATATATGTGCGAATGAACATCGCCATCTTGCAATGTGCACCCTTCGAAATTCACGAATGCATTGCGCCGATCGCACTCTCATTGGGGGGAGTCAGGCAACACTCTAGCAACGCCATACCGAAAAACGAACAGCCACATGAAAAAAAAAAAAAACCTAAGCACCAGGGAAACCAGCCTACACGTCATCGTTTTCCCAACATATGTTAAACGTTAGCAGAGTTGCTAACTTTTCTAATTCCGCGTAACTATACTTAACTCGAGGGACCAAGTTAGCGAAGTTAGAGGGCTTATAACCTAGTAATAACAAATATCACTCACCTATAACTGACATATAACATAGATATAACATGGTTATAACTCACGGTAGCACTTATTAACCACGCCGATCCTTTAGGTACCCATCCATGCGGCCGCCACATGGGTACTGCCGGGAACGGGCTGGGTACCGGTTGGTACCCCTACCGATCCAGCGGCCGCCGGATGGGTATATGCCGGGAGCCGGCTGGGTACCCCTACCCATCCGGCGGTCGCAGGATGTGTATCTGCTGGGAACCAGCTGGGTGCCCCTACCCATCCAGCGGCCGCTGGTACCCCTACCCATCCAGCGGCCGCCCGATGCTTAGATGGGTGCGGATACTATAAAACACTGAATCTATATATTGTGCACTATAGGATCCAATCAACATGTACAAAAAAAAAAGAAAAATAGTAAACTATAGTGAAAGAGTAGTGAACACAATAGTGTTGAATCGTGAAAATAGTAAAAATAGTGAAACATAGTGAAAAAATAATGGAACAAATAGTGAAAATGAAAAAAATATGCAACGTCTAAGAAAAATCACAAACCAGCTTGCTTCTCTTCCTTTCTCTCCTGACTTTCCGCAGCGGCAGGCCGCTTTTACATTGCAAGTTGCACAGTGCAGCGGTTTGGCCGCTTCAGAACTTTCCTTTTAAATCACGCCCAGAACGTTGCGCTCCAACGGGGGAGGGGAGGTTAAGGAGAAGGAGGAGGGAGGGCAAATGCGTTCGAATCCCTGGATGACAACCTCTTGTCGCGCTCGTACTGGGCCCGTGCAAGGCGTCGCTGTAGCCCCTGAGATGACAATGGCAGCGGCAAAACTGAAGGGAACCAAGAAGCTGAAACGGCAAAGCGGTCGCACCGCTCCTCCTCCTTTTTTTCTTTTGTTTCTTTTTTTTTTTTACTTTTTTTTTTCTTTTTTTTTTTTTTTTTTTTTGTTTTTCACTCTTTTTTTTGTTTTTTTTTTTATTTTTTTTTTTTTTTTTTTTCCTTTTGTTTTCCTCTTTTCTTTCGTTTTTTTTTTTCCCTCCTCCTCCTCCTCCTTTTTTCCTCCTCCTCCTCTTCCTTTTCGTCCTCCTTTTGGATAACCTGCAAAACGGTCATTCCCATAATCAGAATTTAAGGGGCAAAGCGGACGCGCCGCTGTTCCTCTTCCTCCTGCCCCTCCTCCTCCTCGCCCTCCTCCTCCTCTTCCTCGTCCTCCTCCTCCTTGTCCTCTTCGCCCTCCTCCTCCTCCTCCTCCTGCTCTTCCTCCTCCTCCTCCTCCTCCTCCTCCTCCCCCTCCTCTTCCTCTTGGATGGCCTCGCAAAGCGATCGCGCGCGAAGGATCGGGGCATGAGGGGCAAAGCGGACGCACCGCTTTTCCCTCCTCCTCCTCCTCCTCCGTCCTGCTCCTCCTCAACCTCCTTCCCTCCCCCTCTCCCCATCCTCTTCCTCCTCCTCCTCCTCCTCCTCTTCCTCCTCCTCCTCCTCCACCTCCTCCTCCTCCTCCTGCTCCTTCCTCCCCCTCCTCCTCCTCCTCCTCCTTCCTCCCCCCGCTCCCCCCCTGGATAGCCTCGCGCAGTGGCAAAGCGGTCGCGCCGCTCCGATTGTCTCTCCTCCTCCTCCTCCTCCTCCTCGCCCCCTTGTCCCCCCTCGGGTAGCCTCGCGAAGCGGTCGCGCCGATAAATCTCAGGAAATGCTCTGGCAAGTGCAATCGCGCCAGCGCTCGACGCTTGCAGGCACTTCAAAGCCTGCGGGTACTTATGCCATATCCACCAATGACAGCGTTCCAGAAGCCTCTTGTGTCCAGAGAGGCTGTGCCATGAAGGAGTCGCACTGCGCGAACTTCGGGGCGTCGTCCTTTCGCCACCGCGAGGCGCTGGGCAACGCCTGGCAAATAAAATGCAACTCCTGAACAATCAACGCCACGTTGCCGCCTTCCTCGGCGCCGCCGAGGATAAAATGGCGTTTCTCACCAATGCGCAGAATATCTCCAGCTGGCATGCGAGAGCCACCCGCAATAACGACCTTCGAAACGTTCATGACGTCGTTGTATTTGATGCCGCACGCCAAGGCATTCCCACATGAAACATTATGTTGCGCATCGTGGCACTGAAGGGCAATAGCTCGGGTCAGTAATGATTTCTCGAAGCACCGCGTGTTGTCGATGAATTCAGCGATCCGCAGTTATTTTTTATGGTACCTCTCCGTCACAAGCGTATCAAGTGCGAACCCATCCCTGAGCACCTGTCGCGGCAGGTGCCTGCAGAAATGAAACTTCGGGGTGTGCATGCCGCAATCACCGTGCGCAGACTCGAAAGCCACGGCGTGGTCGCGGAGCGCCACGGTCCAAGCATCTGCCACAGCCGCGCCCCTCTTGGCCAGCAAATACAGAAATATTGATTTGGCCAGCGCGGCAAAGGAAGCCAGCTCCTTTGCAAAGTCCAGCTTGAACTGAGCGGACCCAGCGGTAAGTACATCGAGAGCGTACCGAATGAGCGGAACGGCCGCGATGAACTCGCTCGCCTTGGCGCTGTATTTCTTGTTGGTCTGCAAGTGCTTTTGCCGCTGGTCGCTGAAAAGCCCGTTGGCGTCCAGCATGCCGCTGGTCGCTGAAAAGCTGCAAGTCTGCCACTGCGCGCTGGCGATGTCCCTGAAGCGCTCCAACGTCAGGCCGACGGCAGCGAGGCGGCACAGAAACCCACTCAGTTCAATCTGAGCGATCCCATTTATGATCACGCAGCGTGCTGGGTCGTACGCGCGCATGTCCAGCGACGCGTGCTGGCGAAACTCAGCGTCCAATAGCAAACCATCTGGCACGTGATTAACGCCGTGTACCTTGCATTGCTCCTCGAACGCGCCCTTGGGCAGCGTGGCTTGCAGACGCTGGAGCAGGTCCGCGGAGAAGAACAGGTCCTCCGCGGCGCGCGCGTCGAACAGGTTGGGTTCAGAGCACGAAATGGGCACCAGCGTGCTCGTCCTGTCATGCGCTGACAGCAGGGGCTCCGAGTGGTCGTATATGCCGTGCACATTCTTGCGCAGAGCGCAAGGGATTACGCCAGCGGCGCCCTTCAAGCGCGAGGCATTTTTAGCGCCATCTTCGTCGTAAAGCAGGTTCGACAGCTTAAAGAAGATGAGCGCAGGGGCGCCGCCAGGCCCAATGCCATCAATGAGGGTGCCCCTCTGCGACGCGCTGTCTGGGCCAATAAAAAGTCGTCGCAACAGTTGGCGAACGACTCCAGACATCTTGCCCGCAACTTGATCGACCACTGTGTGGCGAACAAAAGCGAGAGGCAACCAAGCGTCCTCGCACGACACCGCGTCAGGGCCGAAGGAGCGGAAGCTCCCGTAAAACGAGAGCGTCTTGCGTTTGTTATCTTGCCGCAAGACGTTGCCTGGCACGAACTCATCGAAGTGCAAGGTGAAGTCCCACGGCGCCGCTGGGGAGCACGGGAATTGTCTTAAAGTTGTGGGCAGCAAATTTCTGAAGCTCGCAGATTCGGAAGCGCAGTGTTGAAGGAGGCTGGCGATATTGACGACGGGCATGTCGAAGGCCGTGCCGCTTGCCAAGTTCAACTGTATTGGCGCATCCAGAAATGCTGTTGCGAATTCATCGCTAGCCTTTCTGATCCTCCACTTCGCCATGTCGTCAATGATCTCTGGCTGCTCCTTCAAGCAGCGCGCAATGCCGATCACTGCCGCGTTCGACGCTTAAAACGAGGCAATCAGCGGAGCAAATGCGCGCGACCTCTTGGAGACGTTCTCGCCCGCATCGGAGCTTGAACGTTTCATCGGAGATGGGGCTGGCTTGCGCAAAAACTGGCTCGAGCCCGAGCTGGTTCGGGCGAAAGCTGGCATGGGCCAGCGCTACGGTTGAGGCGGCGCTGAGCGGAAGCATTGGCATGAACGCGCAGGCGTAACGAAGCGGTCAGACCGCTGCGCTGGGGCAAATACAAGCGAAGCGGCAATGCCGCTGCAAGTTGAGAAGGACATCACTATAGCAAAGCGGCAATGTCGCTGCAATGCAACTACAGGTAAAGCGGCAATGCCGCTGCAAGTGAAAACGTCATCATTAGCAAAGCGGCAATGCCGCTGCTGCATGCGACAACATCATGATGCATTCCGTGGTTGGCGAGGGGGGATAAGCGGCCAACTCGCGCAGGAGGGGGGGGGGGGGGGAGGAGAAGGAAAAGGGGGAGGGGGAGGAGGAGGAGGAGGGAAGCGCGTTTGCTATGGGAACTGCATCGGCGCGGACTGCTGAGAGGAGCAACGCAGCAGCTCCCGATGTATACGACGCTAACAAGAGGAGCAACGAGCTCCTTATATATCCCACGCGAGAGCGGTTACGTCCGCTGTGCGCCCCTGCAAGCACGCTCAGGAAACGAGCTCCTTATATATCCCACGCGAGAGCGGTTACGTCCGCTGTGCGCCCCTGCAAGCACGCTCAGAAGCCCAGGTAGCTTCCGCCACGGTCATGCCATCGGTAACCAACCCGTCGATGGAGACTTACCCCGAAGTGATCTGGTCAGAGCCCCAGTGGATCACTTCTTCTTGGCCCACGACTGCGTCTCGAAAGCAGCCTTGATATTCTTCATCCACGCTGTCATGTAGTTGACAGCCGTCTTAACCTCCTCCTCCTTGACGTCTGGGACGACATCCTCGCCCTCCAGGCACTTGTTGCAATGCTCCACAACATCATTCAGAAACGTTTGTTTGTTGGTGGCCTCCTCAGTGTACGTCGTCGGCGCCTGAAATGAGAGGGGGCGACTCCCCCCTCCTCCTCCTCCTCCTCCTCCTCCTCCTCTTCCTTCTCCTCCTCCTCTGCCTCCTCCTCCTCCTCCTCCTCCGCCTCCTCCTCCTCCCCCCCCTGCCCATCGTCAGATCCGATCTGACTCCGTCGCCTTTTCGCGCGCCCATCGCGCAGAAGATCCCCCGTCTTCTTCAGCAATGGCTTCACCGCCAACAGCACCTTGTTAACGGTCTGCAAGCCCTTGGCGCGCTTCTTCTGTTCCTGCCTTTTGCGGGCTGCCTCCTCTTTGGCCATCTCCCTGTCCATGGCTTTCTGAATCTTCTCAGCCTCGCGGGCCGCCTTCTTCTCTGCTGCGAGCTTCGCCTTGCGCTTGGCCGCGAGCTCCTTTGGGCTGAGGCCCGCGTCAGACCCTGAAAGCCCTTCCTCGTCACCGTGCTTGCCTTTCTTGTCCTTCTTGCCTTCCTTGCCCTTCTTTCCCTTCTTGCCCTTCTTACCCTTCTTGCCCTTCTTCTTTTCTTTTTCTTGTCGGAGCTCGAGGAGCTGGAGCTGCTGCTGCTGTCGCTGCTGCTGCTGCTGCGCTGGCGCTTCTTTGAGCCATTCTGCTTCGGCAGCTCCGCTGGGGCCTCCTCGAGCGCCGCTGCTGCTCCTGCCGCTGTTGCGCTCTGCGGCTTTTCAGCTTCCTCGGCAGCCTCCAGGAAGGCTGACGCTCTGCGCTTGCGATTGCTGCCAACTTTTCTAGCTCTCCTGCATGATGACCTCCTTGATCCTGGCCTCCGAGATCTCGTGGATCTGAACCCGGTACGTCTTCCCGAGAACTGGATGATCCTCGATGTCAGCAGCCTGTGTTTTCTCCTCAATATCTTTCGTGTTGTATCCCAGCTTCTCGCACACAGACAAGGGCAGGAATTGCCCAGTGTGGGTATCCGCGATGCGCTTCATGCGCACATTCATCAGCACCCCCTTCATCGCGTCGCGGCAAGCAGCAGCTGCTGACCCGCAATTCTGGTAGAAGTGATCCTGCTCCTCCGTGGCGAGCTCGTCGAACTCCGCAATCGGCCACCCGCCGAAAATCCGTCGAAGTGTTTGGTCGCGCACCCTGCACGCGGCACACGTGATGACCGTGCCGCCATGGGTGATCTTACAACCCTGTGCAAGCGGATTCGTTTCCTTCTTGCACATGGAGCACTTCGGGTCGCCCTGCGAGAGCAGGGCCTCAACCTCTTCCCCCCTCTTGTCGTCGTCCGACAGCTGCTCCACTGGCACGTCCTCATCTTCAGCCTCCTCGCCCGCCTCCTCTTCAGCCTCCACTGGCGCGTCCTCCTCTTTGTCAGGCAGGGTGTCCCCTGTTGCCTCTTTGCCAGGTTTTGTCGCCCCCATGGCTGCCTCGGGCTGGGGCGGACAGGGCGGGCGGGCGTCGCTCCGGGATTCTGTTGGCGCGACCTCGACAGCGTCCCCCGCCTTTGGCGCATCCTGGCTGCCTGCCGCGGTCTGGCGCTGGAAGAGCGACTGCAGCGCGTTCTGAGGTGCCACTGGCGCCATGGGGGCAGGGCTGTCGTCGGAGAAGCTGGGCATGATCATCGTGTTGGCGATGACCTGTGCTGCGTCTGCTGCATCAGTAGTATCGCCTGAAGAGGTGCGGGGGAGGGGGGTCGGGTGCCAAGCGGTCACGCCGCTGTGAGGGCATGAGAAAAGAGCGGATGGGGAGATGATGTGAGGGCATGAGAAAAGAAGCGGCATGATCGCCGTCATCGTCACGAGGCAGCGAAGCAACCTTTCCTTGACACCGCTTCTTCGCCGCGCGCTTGGACGCCATGGCGTGCGCGGGAGAACTTCCGACGAAGGCAGTCGCCTCGGGAAGCCCTTCAAATGGCTGCGAACGGGAAGCGCGAACGCGGGAAGCGTCCGCGCCGCTGAATGCGCAGAGCAAAGCGGGTAGACCGCTGTGGAGAGGGGAGGCGGGGGAGGGCGAGGAGGAGAAGGAGAAAGAGGAAATGCATGCAACAACTGCAAGGCAAAGCGGTTGGGCCCGCTGAGGAGGAGGAGAAGGAGGAAGGGGGAGGAGGGAGAGGGCGAGTAGGAAGAGGTGGAGGAGGGCCCAAAACATATAGATCACTGATCTGTCTGGTGTCGGCCGCCCCCCCCCCCCCACCTCCCCAACAGTGGCCATGCAAAGCAAAGCGGTTGCACCGCTGAGGAGACCGCGGAAGGGGAGGAGGAGGGGGGGGAACTGCGCGCGGCGCCTCCTCGACGGGGGGCGCCACCCTCCGCTGCGCTCATGCGGGCGCAGGCGGGGAGCACAGCTCCCGATTCGAAACGCGCGGCGCGCGGATTCACTCAATGAAGCCGTCGCCGCTGGTTGGCGCGCCTGTCCCTCTCGCCGTCCTGGGCAGCGCGCGCCTGAGCCGCGATCGCCAGGCGCTCGTCGACGAGCTTCGTGGCCGTGTCCGCGTCGACGGTGAGTAGCGCCTCACCTCAGCACCGGTTAACCTAACAACCCCATGTAGCCCCCCACCAGCCCGCCCCCTCCCGCCGCCCCCGACATGGGGATATACACCCCGAAACCCCAGGTATTCCGCCTATATCCCCATGTCGGGGGGTAAATCCCCTAGTGGAGAAAAGGCCACCGAGATGGGGACAGGGTTCGGTTAAACGATGCTCATCACCGAAGCTCGCTCGGCAATTCCGAACGCACTGCAGGCAGCAGCGGTGCCACCAGGAGCCGTCCTGCGCGAAGTGCCACGCGTCCATGGCGGCTGCGGGGCCGAGGGCGCCGCGCGTGGCGCAGCGAGCATCCCAGGCAGCCATTGAACGAATTCTCGAATTCGGTTAGGCGAATTCAAAAAACTTGAAGCCAAAAACGGCTGCGACGAAATCGTTATCCTGTCCTCCTCCTCCTCCTCCTCCTCTCCCCCTCCCCCCCCTCCTCCCATGCAGAGCGGTTGGGCCGCTGAGGGGCAGAATGGGGGGGCAGGAGGGAAGCGAACGCAAAGCGGTTGGCCCGCTGAGGAGGGGGGGGGGGGGGCGGAAGGGGGAGGCGACGGAGAGCGGTTGGCCCGCTGAGCAGGGGGATTGCGGGGAGAGGCGACGGATGAGGGAGGTG